TTGAATGTGTTAAATTTAATTATTAAAAGTTTTGAGATTTAAATAACAATTAAATTCATAAATTTAAACAAATTTTGATTGAAATTCCAACAAATGAACGGCAACACTAATTTATATACTATTCATGTATGTATTGAAATAAAGATGAACTAATCAAGGTTATATTTTATTTTAACTATTTCATTTTCTGATGATAAGATGGGTTTAACTGATATAATATGATAATTTAGAAATCCTAGAGTCAACTTTTATTTATTAACTTCTTTCTAACTGTCAACCTGATAAGTCTATTCTAAATTTAAAAAAATATTTCCGTTATGTGTTTTCAATAATAGTATTAAAAAAATTTCTCAATCTACTAAAGATCGAAAACTGTTGGTATAATATTCGTTAGGCTCAGTTCCGCTATGCCATGGTACGTTTTTTTCACGCTAGCCTTGAGAAATATTTTAAAAACTATAATAAAAATCAAATTTTATTAATAAAAATCTTTTAAATATTTTAACTTCAGCCAATGATTTTTTATTTCCCATTTGCTTTTCAAATTGCCCACTTCGCTTCGCTTGACAGTAATCCAATAAAGAAAACAACAAAACAAAGACACTTTCGCCTTTTCGAAAAGAAAAAGCAGACACTTTCGCCTTTTATTTACTTTTTCTTCGTTTAAAATCTTCAAAATTTGAAAAAAAAAACATTTGATTTTCTTTTCCACTTTTTATTAATTTTATTATATTTATTTAAAAAGGTATAGAACCGCAAAAACAAAAAATTTTATAAAACCCTTTTAACTTTTACTGCCATTAACCCTTCATATAATTTTTGTGAATATTTCCCTGAGAAAAGAAAAAACCATTTTGTTTCATGTTTCAATTTTTTACACAACAAGTAATCCTAATACCGCAATTTCTTATGGCGTTGCGTTAAAATGTTTTGCTATTTTTTCATTTTTTGTTAAATTTGCGGAAAAAGACGCATTTCCTTCTATGTTTATTCACTTCTTTCCTTTTTAATTTTTCAGTTTGTAACTAAACTAAATTTTAAGTTTAATATTTCAGAGTATATAAGTGAGTTTTTTAGGTACTCCTTAAAAGTTGAATTTAATGTTTATAATACTAGATAATATATTAATTTATTAATTAATAAAGGTTGTTAAAATTTAAAGAGGAAAGCAATAATAAGAAGAAAAGAATAGTTTATGAGCATTTGACAGTCCACAATTTATGTGCACCTAAAAATATGCAAACTCCAATATAACCAATTTTAATTTTTCATGATTTTCATTTTACAAAAAAGAATTAGAACTTTGTATATCACCGAAGATTTCTATATATTCAGGTTTATTAAATTCTTCTGTAAAATTACATTTCTACTTACCATGATTTTATGTTACTCTTTAGACCATAATCCATAGCCTTTCGATCCTGTGCAATGTCTGACAAATTTAGACTTTTTAGATTTTTAATCAAAATTTATCTTATTAGGTTTCATATCTAAAAACAAAACATTTAGTATCAAAAATTTTAAAGTGTTTTACGTTTACATTTTATAAGCTGTATTTCCGGCTAAGCTTCTGTAAACTCTTAATCAAAATAATTGGATTTTAGATTTTTTGTAGACAAGTGGTCATGTACTTCGACAGTATAGCAAAAATCTGGCCTTCTGGTAAACTGCATATTAATATAATAAATAGTAAATCATTATTTTCCATACCAAATAACTTACTAACAGCATCAAGAGATTCATTTAATTGACTCAATTTTCATTTGATTTTTCAGAAGTGACGCATTTCTTACTGGTCCCTTGCATCGGTAAATTTAATGTAGTTTTCTACACACCGCATTTGAAGTTTTTAAAATGCTTAATTTTCGTTTTATCAGATGGGTTTATTGATTGAATCAGATCCAATCTTACTTTGTTATCTTCTTGTGACCACTTTTCCAGTTTTCAATTTTGAGTTTTCATCTTCGTCAATTGGTGTTTTAATATTTCCGGTGAAGAGTTCAATGCGAGTGCTAATCTTATTGATTAGCACTGATTTTATTTTTATTATTTAAATTCTGGTATATTATGATATAATGTACATTATAATGTTGCTTCATTATGTTGCTTTATTTACAATCCCAGTTGAGACACCCTAATGTTAACAAGATTCATACACAATTTACAACATAAAAAAAAAAATTTGTTCCGTGAAATAAATTTCTTTTGGTTTGTTTTGGTACTATTCTAGGTAATTTAGTTTTTTTTTAATTAAAAACAATTAAATAAGTTTATTATAAAGATGAAGAAATTATAGATATGGCAACTTGGTTTTAGTTCATCAAGGAACAACACGAAAAGATGTTCTTCTTTCCGCTTATTATTTTTATCACATATTGTTATTTAAATGTGCACTTAAGTTTACTTGTTTTTTCTTAAATTTACAATAGATTTGACTACAATATTGTTATATGCCTACAATATTTTCTATTTTAGTTTTATGCTCTTATTATACACCAATGTGAAGAGTATATGTATGTGTTTATAATTTTCTTTGTACGCTTTTTCAATCTGAGTTAACTGACCTCCCAAAAAGCGAATTTGAGTTTATTATGAGGGCAACTCCTTTATTTGCCCCAGAATCTATCTGTTGTATAGTTGTATGAAAAATTTTTTCTCCTTAATTTGAAACAATTTCCAATTTTCCACCTTTAATATTAAATAAATGTGACACAAATATGCGAATTATTTTTTGTATGTATGTATATTAAAGCTACTATTTTCCTCCCATCTTAATCCCTACCCACTCTATCCTTTCAAATGAATTCGAATTGTTGCAATTCTTCTTTTTCTCTTTTGATAATCCGCTTACGCGCAAAAAATAAATTTTAAAATTTTATTTAAAGAAGAAAGAAAATTATATCACAGCCAAAATCACTGAATTAATAAAAGAAATACGTACCTATATATAGGCAATAGACAAATGTAAAATGGCCGAAAGCATTAAAAAACAAAATAATCAAAAAACAAAAGAATTATTTTTAATTTCCATATTTTTCTTTTTAATTAAGTTTTAACTCTGTCATGTTTTATCATTTTAATTTTTTTTAATTTTTTTTTGTTTGCTCTACCGACCGCAAGAGCGTAGCAAATCCCGTAAAAATAAAACGAATTTTTGTTTGCTTCTTTACTTGTCAGAACTTTTTCCTTTTTACCGTAATTAATTATCTTAGATTGTGTCACAATAATAAAACAATTTACCATCATAATCAAATATAGATACTTATATAAAAGTGCGTATAAAATATAATGAATACTTTCAAAAAATTGAAGATTTAAAGAAAACCTTTGCTCTAGCTTCTTTCTCAAAAAGAAAGAAAATCCAGAGAGATAGAATGAAGAGATACAAACACAATTAATCATTTGCTATACAATATCACATTTACCGTACCGTACTTTTTTTTAGAAAGAAGCTTATTCAAACATAATATTATAAACATTAATTAATGAGGAAACGGTGCGAACATTCGGCGCAAGCCTACTAATTACCTCATCGGCAAACCTCCGCAGCACATTCCGGTCCCTGTGATGATCTGATATATTTCCTAATTTTCAGTAGGTCTATCATGGTCAGGTGACTGTAAAAATTATATTCTATATTATATAGAAAAATAAAACAATAGATATTTAATATAAAAATAAAACTTCGGTTGGCTCGTCAACCACATAATTTAAAGTATAATTAAAAAAAAAAATTACGGTCACTAAGCAGTTGATGTGGACAACTGACTACAGCAAAGTTAGTTTCTTATTAAGCTAATGTGATATTTTACTTTTCAAATTTCAGTCGGCAAACTTTATTCAAAAAATAATATCATTAATGAATACTAAGAAAATTTTTAGAGAATTTGGAATTTTCTAATTAAAATTTTTGTATAAAACTAATGAAACAATATGCGGGTACCCACACTTCATAGAAAATTCAAAATCGGAAAATCTATTATAGATATTATAAGCATATTAAGTAATTATTTTCATTATACAAATTAAATTTGAAATCAGAAAATTGATTTTATTTTTTAAAAGCATTTATAATACTTAATTAATATTGCATTTTAAATTAATTAAACGGAAACAATAATCTCTATGTCAAATTAATTTCATTTAAGCACAATAAAATAAATGCAAATTTTTTTTTTTTATTTTTAATGGAAATGATTAATTAATATTAAAGTGATTAATTGAAAAGTGAAAATAAAATAATCAAAAGAAAAATTCACCGTTCAAAATTAAAATTGCAAAAGTAAATTAAAAGAACCGCATTAGTAGGTTATGGAACTCAAGGTACGTACATTCTACTCTGCTTATTACAAATATTTTGTATATTTTAAAAATTAATTTAAGATTCTAAAAGAAAAATAAATTTGTGCTTATGAAAAACGCAGAAAATATAGTTAACAGATATAAGCTCGAAACTTATATTAATTTTATTGGGGAGGTATGAACTTATTGCCTCCAGTTCTGTTTGCTCTCTAAAAATAAATACCAAATAAAGTCTGTAAAAAAATGTACATTCAAATACGAGGTACAGATGAAGAAGTCATAAACTAATCCTCAAATTTTTCACAATGTGTGATGGTGTAATTGCACAAAATAAGCCAGCAAATTTCTTTGTTATCTTCAATTGTTCTTTTACATATGGTTCCCATATTAGATTTTCATCTATTATGCTCCAAGATATTTCTATTGCATCATCATATCAGATTTGTTGTTACTGTTCGAGACATTTATATTATTGTTTATCAGTTGAAGACGCGTATTTAGACTTTTTTGTGTTAATGGTGAACTTTTGTAATTCCATCCACTTTTGTATTTCTCTCTAAAAATAATTTAAATATTTTAAAAAATATTCATTACGATTTTTATTCATGAATTCATTACCATTTTTTCTTCATATACATCAAAATATTATTAAAATTGAGTAAATAAAAACTTATATTCTTGTATTTTTGTTAATATAGAGAATTGAAAGACCATTTTTATCAGCTGTTGAAAATACATTGGGTGATCGTTATACAGCAAATGTTGAAGGAATTTATAAATTAACAATAAAATTTATAATTGAAACATTAATAGCTGGTTATGATAATAGTGCATCATCAAATCAAATAAATAGTGCCAATAATCATCAAAATCCATCATCAGCATCTGGAACAAATAATAATAATGGTAATATGACTGAACAACAACAAAAACAATAACCTTAATAATCAACAAGAAATGTCAATTCATAATCATTTATTTTATTCAAAAAACAAAAAATCATAATAAATTCATACATATTTACATACATACATACATATATGTATTACATAAAATAATATTTATTATAAACTTAATAAAATAAGAAAGAAAAAAAAAACAAATAAAAAACAAAAACTCTTTTTTTTTGGAAAGCATTATTAAAAATTTTCATCACCATCTCGTAAAATACAAACAAACATACCCGCCCTATACCATATTTTTACAATTAAACAATTTTAAGATAAAAAAAAATATTTAATTATAAATAAAATGGAGAAATGAAAAATAAAAAAAATAATTGTGAAAAATAACAAAAATAATCAATTACAAGAAATAACAAAAAAAAAACTTATAAAATAATTTTTGTAAAAAAAAAATTAGTAGTACAAAATGGCAACCATTTTATGCGTTTATCACAAAATCTTTAATGACACAAAATGGTAGAATTATTTTGTATAAAATTTAAAAAATCGCTGATATTTTTGATCATTTTTATCTTTTATTTGTAATATTTAAAATAAAAAAAAAATAATTAAATCTTTAGTAAATTTAGCAAATTTTATTATTTATATTTTTATTACTTATTTTTCTAACTAATATAATAAGAATTATAATAAAAAAAATAATTAATTTAATTATTATATTATGCGTAATATTATTTTGTGCGTTGTGTTATATTGTGTAAAATAAGCCTCAATAATAGCATATAAAAAACATTCTCTCCACATCTGATTTTTTTATTGTATTGGTAACACTTTTCAATATTACAGATCTAACGTAATATTAAAAATGCTATATTAGAAAATCACATTTTTGACAAAATAGTAAATATAATGTCAGCTTAACTTTTTACTGAATAAAACTACAATAAAATTTTATTTAAATTCGAAAAAAAAATATACGGTAACACTTATGAATTAAGAGGCAAAAATTAATTTTAATTAAAATTTATTATTATTAAGAAACTAAAGCTGTATTATTTTATATTCGATTTTAAATTATTTTCAAATTGATCACTTTAATTTTTTAAATTTACTGCACTTTTTAAATATTATTAAAATATATAAGTAAGTATAAAACTTTTGTATAATTAACAGCTTAAAATAGTCAACAAACTATATAATAGCGTTTTCCAATAACGAAATGTAGTAAAAAAAAAAGAAGTAAAATTGAATAATTTTATTATTTGGTGTATAAATTTACAAATTAATTAAATTAGCGATTAGCAGCGAAAAAAGTTAGTATAAAAGAATATAAATTCTATTTAATTTTTGCATTCTTGATCTTATTAAAAGCAAAAAATTTATGCTTTTTATTCTAAATATAATATTGTGTTTTATATAAGTGGTGTGATATTCTATTATGTGTACCGTAAAAGATAGGACTTAAAAAAAATAATGTATTTAAAAAATGTACGCACTTTAATTAAAAAAGCTAAACAGTACTCCTTAATTCTGATATATAGATAGATTTGAAATTTACATATAATAAATCATTGAATTTCTTGAAATTTTGCAAATTTATATACCTTTCATTGGGGAGAAATTCTTAAATTTCATAAAGTGTCCACGAAGCCTATATTGATAATGATTTAAACTGGTTCCAGGATATACCGCACCTAATTTAATTTCACAATATTAATGTAATCATCAGGCAATTACATATCTATCCAAAAAGCTTTGCACGCGTAATTTATGCGCCTCTTAATATGCAACGCTCTTGCCACTTATCGTCTCTCTTCTAAAATTTAAAAATTACATTCAATTAAACTTTAATTATATGTGATAATCAATTTTACCTAGATTTCCAAAATATTCTAACATGTTATCATAATATACACCCCTGGTTGTATAGGCATATATTTTGATAATATTTTGATTATTATTTTAATCAAGGTGGTTACTTACAAAAAATTAATTTTTTTCGTTCCATATCGGTAATTGGAAATTAAATTAAAATTAAAAGCCTCCTAATTATTAATACGAGTTATAAGCAAGTTAATAAGCGAGTTTAAGCGATAATCTTAATTCCGCCATAATATCGGAAACACTGAAGCCTCATTATCATCTTCAATTTACTTACTGTTCAATAATATATTTAAATTGATATCTCTCCAAAAGCGAACCAACATCGAACACGGGCACACTCAAATAATTCTGGTATTCAGCTTCTATTCCCTGCACAAGCAGGTACAATTTATCACTTAAAAAAAAAAACACAAAGAATTAAACTAAAATTTTTATTTTGAATAACATTTTGGATATTTTATAATTTTTATTAGATTTCTAGAAAACTGAAATTTTCGAAAACAAAAAATAAGAAAATTTCAGTGCTATGGTAGCCACAGTCGTGGACAAGTATATAAGTATATGTATTTACATTTAAAATAAATATAAAAAAAATAAAAAAAAAATTAAAAAAAATGCTACAAAATTAAAATTTTTATTATTTCTTTTTTTAAGCGCAAAAACACTAAATTGCATTCATAACTAAACCAATGTTAGTCAAAAGAAAAATAAAACAAAAAAAAAATAAAAGTAAATTAAAAATTTCTTAATGTATTTTATAAAAAAAAAATGAAAAGAAAAATTTTTCTCGCACTTTAAGAGTATTTAACTGTTAATTAACCGCTTTTTCTCCCCCATTCCACTACTATAAAAATTGTTAGATAATTGGTTTCCTTTTTTTATGATGTTATAGAAAATTTTTTGTTTTTGTAGATTTTAAACAGAACAGAACAGGACTATGTTAAATTTCACAGTGACATTAACAATTATTTACTTTAATAAAATATTTAAAATAAAAATGAACAACTAATTATTAAGAAGAAATAAAAAAATAAAATACAAAACAGTTGTATAAGAGAAAAATTTAAAATAAAAAATCAAATAAAAACAAAAAAAAAACATGAAATATGAAAAGGAAATAAAAAAAAATATTGAAATATTTTAGAACATAAGATTTCAAAATAATTATATAAAAAGAAAAAAACAAAGCTAAATTGTATTGCATAATTACGTAAAAATCTTAAAAAAATTTTAAAACTCTGTACGACAAAATTCATAACCAAAATTGCTGTTTATTAAACAGCAGATAAACACCGCACAAACTATATTCAGATCTAACATTAGCTTAACATTTAAAATATATTGATGAATACGTGAAATTTTTTTACATTTCACTACAAAAGCTCATTAAGTGATTTGATCTATAATATTAAAATAAAACTTCGATCAGTGATCTTTGATCATATCGCTATTCTCAACATTGAAATCACATTATCGCTATTAAGCGATTTATATTTATGTGCTTTATAATTATTCAGCAATTTATAATTTCATAATATATTAAGCAATTTATATTTATGTGCTGAATAGTATTGAATTGAAGGTAGTAAGGCATTACAGTCAATCCAATGTTAAGATATGTCAGTACCTTATCTTTCAATCTTTGAATTAAATTAAATTGAATTCGAAAAAAAATGAAATAAAATCATTTCAAAAGAAAACTATTTCAAGTTTAGTTTTGAAAAATTTTCAATATATAATAAATTGTCATTTTGACTGACATATTGACACATCAATTTATTATGAAGGTGTCAATTTATTAAACCTCTTAATTGTGCTACAACTTAAATCATAAAAAAACTGATTGAAAGATTGATTGACAGAAATTGCAGTTTTAAAATTTTTTAAGATTTTCCAAATTTTAATTTTTTTTATAAATATATATATTTGATTTCATTTTTTGCCATAGAGAAACAGAATTGTGTAAATAAAATACATAAAAGAACATATAATTAAAACAAAACAAACAATAAGAACAAGGAAAAAAAAAAGATTTTTGTTGATGTTATATAAATGTTGTAATAGTTATTAAAATATTTAAAAAGGACAAAAAAAAAGTAATAATACTAAAAAAATGAGAAAAAAAAATAATGAATACTGAATGAATAAAATTAAATAAAATTAAATATTAATGTACAATATACACATATATACATATACAAAGAATGTGTTCTTAAAATACTCAATTAAAAAAATTTCTAATGAATCTAAAATGATATAAAAGGGTGTCCATCTTAAAGCAGATCAAACTTTAACTTGACTGATTCGGTAACATAATTTTCATTGCTCCTGAATTAGTCAAATTAACGTCAAATCTGAACTTACTCGCCTTTAAAGCTTTTTAGAAATTTCAAGAGAGTTCGTCTCTTATCAATTTATTTTTTTTTTCCATTTTTTTTTTATTTCATATTTCTAACATTTTTATCGATTTAAATAATGAATAACATAAGAATGTTCGCAAAACGGTAAGTCTAAATTTTAAGTTATTGTATATTATTTTTATAATTATAAGAATTTACGCAAAGTAAAAAATATTTGAACATACATATTTGAATATGTTCAAAGCTTTGCAATGAATATAAATCACATATTACTTACTTAATAAGTTGAAGGTAATTTATGTAGATTTTTAAGAAAAGATTCATCAAAGCAAATATAATATTGTAAAAATTCATAATAATTTTTATTTTACATAAAAATTGGACACTAAATATTTTTAAAATCTTAGTTTTACACTTGCCTTCCACGAATTTCATTGAACTTTTCCAGTTAATTTCCTACCCTTAAAACAATGGCGTTTTTGTATACCACTTGATATTCTACTTAATTCCCATAAGGTAAAACTGCACGTATGTTTTAAAATACTTTTCTACAAAATGCAGTAATTCAACAGAATATTTCTACGTTATGGCTTAACAGATTCAAAAATAAAATATTTTTGAAATTCTATTGCCTATTTTTAAAATTGGAGTAAATCATTTTATACCTACTCCACAAAACTAATCGTTCATCAGAGATATATAAAGAAAATATATAAGTATATACACCTATACACATTGATATTATGGCCAGTCTAAAGATATAATTTTATTTAATAATTTTAAATTAAAAATTTTTAGCAAGAACATATTGCATACAAAATTTTCTTGCATCGCAGAATAAATACGAAAGAGAATGCATAAAATACCTTCAAACTTTACAATTAATATAGAATATGAATAACATTTACTTACGTTTAAAGTCTATATTAAATAATGTGGAAAAATATTTTCGAAATAAGATTCAAATGCAACAAACAAAATTCTGTTCCTTCTCGTACTTCTGAAGTACCATAATGCATATGTAAGTATATAGATGAAGAAATTAGATCCATATATGTATTATTGTAATAGCATCACGTTTCATAAGTATTCTTTTGTCTACAATATAATGGATATTCTATTTAAATTTTGAAAGCATTTTATAATTTAAAGGCACGTACCTATTTTGTAATTGAAAAATAATAAATCTCTTTCTCTATACTTAATGTAGTATATCACTTTCTCTATACATAGTTAATATAATAATAGATAAATATAATTTCTTTTTTTTTAATAAATTTAAAATTTCTTTTCTGAAACATTTCTCAAAATGCTGGTGTAATTTTTCTAACTGCGTATTAAATTTTGATTTGACAATAAATTTAAGA